GCTTATGTTTGTGACACTGATTATGCAAAAACATTCAGTTATGTGTATCATGACAAATTATTGATAACTATGAAAATGGACAATGTCAGGATATTTAATTGTATTTATATGGACCTTATATACAGATTAAGAATCTACTCTAGCATAACAAAAGTTTACTGCACTTTAAAAACAAGAAAAGTATGCATCAAAGTTGCATCTTTTTCAACCTTAATGCTGAGCAAATAATCTGAGAAGGTAACTATATGAAGAATAATATTACATCAGAACTGGAAAAGTAACCACTAACAAACTGAGACATGCAGATGACAAATTATTTCTCAAAATAAAGATGACTTAAGTTTTGTTGATAAATTAAAAAACCTTTCAATAAAAATATTTATAGTTATAATATAAAATATAATCTTCAGTGTATGAATTAAACTTCAACACAAAGAAAAAAAAAATCTTGGCTGGTCCAAAGGTAGTAGATTCTCTCAACTATTGCACATGTTGATCTTCTTGTCTACCATTCTGCACTGGACTGGTGGTTGTTGTCGCTCTTATGTACCACTGAGTCACTTACAACTCATAGTGACCCTATGTACAACAGCCCTAAACTCTGCTCTGCCCTGTGCCAATCCCACTGTCTCTGACACTTCCATCCCAATGACCCCAGTCACTGAATCAATCCACCTCATAGAGGGCCTTCCCCCCCTGCATTGTCCCTCCACCCTCCCAAGCATGATGTCCCTCTCCAAGGACCGGTCTCTCCTTACAACATATCCAAAGTATGTTAGACAGAGCCTTAGAATCCTTGCCTCCAAGGAGTCACCCAGTTTAACCCTTTCCAGGATGCATCTCTTTGTTTTCCTAGCAGTCCATGGTACTCTCAATACTCTTCTCCAGCACCACAGCTCAAAGGCATCAATTCTCCTTCTATCCTCCTTGGTCATTGTCCAACTCGCTGATGCATAACAAATGATAGAAAAGACCATGGCCTGTATCAGATTCACCTTAGTCTCCAGAGAGACACCATTGCTCTTCAGTACTTTAGAGAGGTCCCTAACAGCAGACTCTGCCATGGCAATACTCCTTTTAATTTCCTGGCTACTTGTGCCAAAAGTGTTGACTGTAGAGCCAAGCAAAGTAAAGCTGTGAACAATCTCAATCTCTTCACCATCCAACCTGATGCTGCCAATTGGGCCAGTGGTGAGAATCTTTGTCTTCTTAACATGGAGTCTCAATCCATATTGGAGGCTACAGTCCTTGACACTCTGCAGCAAACACTTCAGGTCCTCCTCAGTTTCAGCAAGCAGGGTTCTGTCATCTTCATACCACAGATTGTTGATAGATCTTCCACCAATCTTGGCCCTACATTCCTCCTCATAGAGCCCAGCCTCCCGGGCAATCTGTTCTGCATAGAGGTTGAAAAGGTATAGAGACAGGACACATCCCTGGTATACACACTTCCCAATTTTGAACCATGCAGTGTTCCCTTGCTCTGTTCTGACAACTGCCTCCTGGTCCAAGTATAGGTGTCTCATTAGCACGATCAAGTGTTCTGGGATTCCCATTCTTCTCAGAGTCAGCCACAGTTTGTTATTATCCACACAGTCAAATGCCTTTGCATAGTCAATGAAACACAGATATACATTCTTCTGGTATTCCCTGCTTTCAGCTAAGATTCATCTAACATCAGCTACAATATCCCTAGTACCACGACCCCTTCTAAACCCAGCCTGGACTTCTGGCAGTTCTCTGCTGATGTGCTGTTCCAGTCATTTTTGGATAATCTTCAATAGAATCTTGCTTGCATGTGAAATTAATTATATTGTTCTAAAGTTTCCACACTCTTTTGGGTCACCTTTCTTTGGGATGGGAACAAATATAGATCTCTTCCAGTCAGTTGGTCAAGTGGTTGTTTTCCGGATTTCTTGACACAACTTGGTGAGCACGTGCAGGGCAGCATCTGTTAGCTGAAATAGGTCAATTGGTATACCACTGGACTGGTAGAACATAATAATGTTTAAAAAAGGGAAACAAAAATCTTCACAACTGTACCAATAAACAGCATCATGATGAATGGAAAAATAATTTAAGTTACCAAATATTTCATTTTACTAGGCTCCACTATCAATACCTATGACACCAGCAGTCTAGGCCTTAAGTAGCATATTATATTGAGCATATGTCCTAATTAAATTGCTAAAGAGGACGAAATTGAGCTTGACACAAGGCATAACATTTTCAGTTTTTTAATATGTATGATACTGTATGATAAATAAGACTGAATAAAAATCCATGCCTTAGAATTGTGGTAGTGACAAAGAATATTGAATACACCATGGACTGCTAAAATAAATCTGTTTTGGAAAAATTACAACCAGAATATTCCTTAGAAGTAAAGATGGTAAGACTTTATATCACATAATTTGTGTACTAGGAAAAGTAAATCAGGACCTTGTGGGTAGACCTTGTATCTAAAAGGTGGTTGGGCCGAACTAAGTCTCCAGTTTGGAGACTTGAGTGAAGTGGTTGGATTCTAGAAGATAGTTTCTTTTGTCTTGATGAGGGTTGGCTGTGGACTGTTTGGCTTTTGGGTTTTGGGGGTTTCCCCCCCTTTACAATTGGGTGTGAACTGATTGAATTTTCAGATTTAGCTAACAATGTGCTGTGAGCTAGAAACCTCTTGGTTTAGAGTCAACCAGGACCTGGTGAGCAAACATTGTATTTAAAAGGCTGTTAGGCCCAACTAAGTCTCTAGATTGCAGGCTCATGTCTGAAGTAGGTCTGATGTTAATTGTGTTTGGGATGAGCATTCTAAGTGGTATGATACTGGTTTGCTGATTTGCTGTACTGAAGTAATTTGGGCTTATTGTGATGCTGAATGCTGTGCCACTGATGTGTCAAATGCCATAATGATTACCCATAGGGGAAGTGTTTGGTGGAGCTCTCAGATTAAGGCAGGTTTGGAAGCAGGAGTGTCATCCACTTTCTGAACAACATGCCACTGGAAACTCTAAGAATATAGAGAAACAACAATAGTTATAGTACAGGCTTCAGATCTTTAGTTCATAGGGTCATGATGGGTCATGCTCAGTTTGATACTTAACAACATTAAGAAGGACTAGTCATTGGAGAAGGACATGATGCTCAGTAAAGTAAAACTTCAGCACAAAAGACAGAGACCTTCAACCAGATAGACTGAAAATATGCCTTAAAAATAGACTCAAGTGTAACAGTGATTGTGATGACAACACATTATTAGTCAATGTTAATTTCTGTATGATGTTCTTTTCCAAGGACTGGCCCTTCTTGACAACATCCCCAAAAAATGTAAGCCAAAGTTTAAACATCTTTGCCTCTAAGGAACACCCTAGTTGTACTTACTCCAAGGCAGACTTGTTTGTTATTTTTGCAGTCCATGGGATATTTAGTATTCTTCACCAACATTATAATGCAAACATACCGATTCTTCTTCTGACATTCTTATACATTGTCCAACTTACAGATACATAAGAAGTAATGACTATGGCTTCAATCAGGTGCATCTTAGCCTTTAAACTGACATCTTTGCTCTTGGGGTCTTAGAAGAGGATTTGACAGCAGATTTTTCTATTGCATCAAGTCTTTTAATATTTTGCCTGCTGATGTAGTAGGTGTTGACTGTGGATCCAAGTAAAAGGGAAATCTTTGAAAAGTTCAAACTTTTTTTTTGTTTTTTTCAAACTCCATTTATCATTATACCTATTGGTCCAGTGGTACTGTTGTTTTCTTTATGTTGATATGTAATCCTTATTGAAGGCTGAATAGCACAGGTTGTTGATGGGTTTTCCTACAAAGACTTTTTGAAGGAAAGAAAAAAAAAAGATCAAACAAACTTTAACACAAAGCTTTGACTCTGATTATGTTTGGAAATTTCTTGACAAGCTTGACTTCATATGGGCTGACACAATTATTCTAAAAAAATCTTTTTATGTAATATTTCTCAAATTTTGAAAGTAAGGACAGCATGTCTTCAAAGTGTGGTTTTAAATCAGAAACATTAATGTCCTTGGGTAACTTAGCAAAAATGCAAATTGTTTTCCTCCCACTCTTACCCCTACCTACTTAACCAAAAGGATCCAATAGATTGAGAAAAGCTACAGGGTCTATAGGTGATGCCCAAGTTTAAGAACCTTTCCTTTAATGCTAAAATATGCTTTTTAAACACCATTTTAATGTAATTAGGTTGGAAGTCATCTGGAGTGGCTGGATTCTACAGAGATTGTTTTCTGGTTCTGGTGAGAATTAGGGTAGAATGTTTACTCACTATTGGATGCTAAACACTGTGACACTGATGTGTCAAATGCGATAATGTTACCCAATGATGGACAGTGTTGGGTGGAGCTCCCCAATTAAAACAAGCTTAGAAGCAGGAGTGGCATCCACTTCCAAAATAACTTGCCTCCGGAAACTCGATGAATGTGGAGAGTAGATGAAATTTATATAAGTGTTCAGGTCTTTCATTCACAGGATCACTAGAGTCGCTATGAGTTGTCTACGACTCACAGCACCTAACAACAACAGCATGTATTGAGATGGCTTCAGTAGCATAGCTTGTTGGGAATTGCACTGCTAACTCAAAATCCATGCCAATCTGGGAGTTTCTAATTGACTGGCACCTCCACAAGAGAAACCCACTTGGAGAGTCAGTTATGAGTTGGTCTTCACTCCACAACAATAAGATAGCTATATATATATATATATAACACATAATAATTAATGAATCAGTCTTAGATTTTCCTATTAATGTCTCAACTCAATAAAAAAAAAAAAAACCCTACTCATTAAGTCAGAACCAAGTCAGAGTTAATCCTCCAGTGAGTTTATAGAGGTTGTAAGTCAGAACAGCTATTGGCTTTGAACATCCTGCCTCAAGGATGATGACATACCTCCCTAACCACAAGGCTATTATAGCTCACCAACTAAGTGATATAAAATCACGTAAATGTGTATATGTTATGTCTTCTCTACAGAAAATCACATCTTGGAAGATGTTAACAAATGTGTGATAGCACTCCAAGAGGGAGACGTGGACACCCTGGATCGGACTGCAGGGGCCATCAGGGGCCGAGCAGCCCGAGTAATCCACATCATCAATGCTGAGATGGAGAACTACGAAGCCGGAGTTTATACTGAGAAAGTGCTGGAAGCTACAAAATTGCTCTCTGAGACAGGTAACCATGAATATTAGATCTTACCAAAATGTTGATATCCTAGTTAATTTTCATATATACATAAATTTGTGTTTTTATATCCCTAGATCTTTATGCTTGTTTCTAAATATTGCATGATCAAGACAGAAACACAATACTGAGTATTCTTTATTTCCTTTTATTTTGTCACTTTATGTGAATAAAAATAATATTGTTACTTTGCAATCATATATTATCATACCAGTTGCCATGGAATAGACTCTGACCCCTGGTGACCTATATGTTTTAGGGTAGAATCATCCTTCATGCTTTCAATGATGGATACTTGAGAAGTAGATAGCTAGACCTTTCTTCAGAGGTGCATTTGAGTGGAATTGAACATTCAATGTTTTGGTTAGTGGCCTAGTGCTTTAGTCATCTGTATTCCTAAAGACTTCCATCTCTCTCTCTCTTTCTCTCTCTTTCTCTTCTATTATCATCTATCTATCTATCATCTATCTATCTATCTATCTATCTATCTATCTATCTATCTATCTATCTATCATCTATAACATCTTGTTGTTGTGTACCATTGAGTGGAAACTGACTCACAGTTAACCTTCTAGTCAGTTTTTCAGAGACAGTAAATAGTATAAGAGGAGATACCCCATTTTTTTGGTATTTTTTGCTTTGTTTCTGTTGTTTTTAATCTTCAGTTTCCTTTAATAAGCTCTATACTCCACAAAGGACAGATGCAGACAGCTAGGTGACCAGCTGCTCACTCACTTGAAGATCTTGCCCTGATTAAAGGCTTTGCGCACATGCTGGGAGGACTCCTCCCAGCAAAAGCACTCTTGAAGGAGCTTCTGGGTCTCCCCACTGACAGAATCCAGTTTTTGCCATATATATGACTCCGAGTCCACCTGCCAATCTGTACTCAGCAGGAAGGCAAGCTCTTGTTTCCTGTAGACCCAAACTCCAGAAATGGAGCTGCTTCTGTTGGTTCCAAAGAGGATGGAATTGGCAAAGGCATTCTCCCTCAGTTTACCCAATCACTGAAACATTCCGGTGATGAAGTTGCAGCTCATGAAGATCTGGGTGATCTCTTCAGGAAAGCAGTACTTGTCATACCAAAAGGACCAGCCATCTTTATCAAAGTACTCCCCAAAATGAGACAGGATCACAGAGAGTGTATCCTCATTGGAGCACTTGCACTTAAATTAAACCAACACAAAGGTACTTATGTATGAACAGGTGACCAAAGGGGTTCTTGGCCTTTACCTCAGCAGCCAGCCGTGCCTACTTACATTCGTCCATCTCTTCCTCAGGAGCAGATGTGGCCTTCTTCCCTTCCTTATGCCTAACCTGGGCCTTCTGCTTCTCCTTTAGTGGTCCCTTCTCTTTCTGTGGGACCTCTTTTTCACGCTGGCTTTCTGCAAACTTATTAGCATCAGATTGGGCCATCTTCTCACAGAGCTTCACCTCTCGCAGGGCATAGTGGAACTTCGGTTTATTAATGGAGGTGAGGAGCCAGGTATGGTATTAGGAAAGGCCTAGTGGAAAGAAAGCTCTATTACCTGTTTGCAGAGCCACAGTAGGATACACACAACTAGGATGTCAACCAGGGTCACACGTTCACCCATCAAAAATAGTCCTTGTTTTCAACTGAGTATCCAGGAGGCCCAGAATTTGCTTCACCTCCTCCTTGGCATTTTCTGTATCCTGCTTGTTATGATGCATGATGTCCAAGGTGGAGAACACCCAAATTCTTGCTGAGGGGGGTGATGTCACTGTCAGCAAAGCTTAACCACTGCACCACCTGAGCTGCTGCCTCTGAGGAACTTCTTTGCAGTTTGTCATTGCTCATGTAATAGGCAATGGCTTTGCTCTCCAACTCAGAATCCATTGTCACCCTCAAATTCTGGAAACTTGCCAACTGGAAATTGGAAAAGAAAAATTGGGGTAGAATTGATTTGGCCAACTTGAGCCCCACTATACTGAGAAGCAATGAGGGCTTTGAAGGCTCTCCAGTCTTCTGAGTATGTATACTGGGTCCCAGTCACCATGGTGATTCCACAGAGAAAGGGCACAACTAGTAGATTTGAACTATGGGCCTTAAAGTTGGCAGCCCAAATAGTTCTGAAGCCACACCCAGGTTTATCAAGGCTTTGTTCACAATAGTGAAAAGGTGAAAACAACCTAAGTTCCCATCAACAAACGAATGGATAGAAAAACTGTGGTATATCCACACAATGGAATACTATGCTGCATTGAAAAACAAGGAACTCATGAAATATTATACAAAATGGGTGATCCTTGAGGACATTATGCTGGGTGAAATATCTCAGTCACAAAAGGAAAAATACTGTGTAGTGCCACTGTTATAAAACAAGACTGACATTGAAATTGAGGGGTGACTGAGAAAGATGGGATAGATTATGTATACTGCATTGAAACAGATGGGGGAAAGAACTGTTTAAAAGGTTTATATCATTAGATCTTATTGTCATGTCCGGAGTCCAGAATGAAGGATGCATAGGGGAGTGGACTTGGGGGCATGGATTGTATAATAATTAAAGAATTTTTCTTTTACTTTTCAAAACAAAGGCTGTATAGTGGAGTGGACTTGGTGGGGAGGGATTGTATAACAATGAAAGAATTTTTCTTATACTTTTCAAAACAAAGGCTGCATAGTGGAGTGGACTTGGGGGGAGGGATTGTAGAACAATGAAAAAAAATTCTTTTACTTTTCAAAGAGAAGAGCAATGTTGAGGGGGGTGTTGGACATGAAGAAAAGTGCATAAATGAATGAATGGAACTACAAAGTCTCTGTAAACTTTCATTAAAATTAATTTAAAAGTATAATAACCCCCCCTAAAAATGGCTCTGAAGCCTGCCCTATCCTGAGCCAGTATCACTATATCTGACATACCTACTCCTATTACCCCATTTACTATGTCAAACCATCTCATCTGAGGTCTTCCTCTCCTGTACATCCCTCCTCCCCTCCAAGCATGATGTCCTTCTCCAAAGTTCAGTCCCTCATGGCCACATGTCCAAAGTATGTGAGACAGAACTTCAAAATCCTTACCTCCAAGGAGCAGCTTGCTTTTACCCTTTCTAAGACAGACCTGTTTCTTTTCTTCACAGTCCATGGTATGTTCAATACTCTTCTCCAGCACCATAACTCAAAGTCATGGATATTTCTGTTATCTTTAGTCATTTTCCAGCTTTCTGATGCATATCAAGTAATTACAAAAACCGTGGCCTGAATCAGGCTCACCTTAGACTCTAGAGTGACATCATTGCTCTTTTAGCACTTTGGAGAGGTCTTTGAAAGCAGACATCCCTAATGAAATTAATCTTTTGGTGCCAAGACTGTTAATTGTGAAGCTAAGCCAACTGAAATTCTTAACAATTTCAA